CATTGGGCGTAAAAGGTTTCGGATTTCTCCTAAGTTTTGTTGGCCTTAAAGAAAGTACTGTCCTGATGACACCGAATAAACGATCTTTTCGTCTAGAGTACAGACATGGCTAGGACGTAGTCCCTTAGTCACACGAGCCTTGACTGTCGGGTATTGTGGCGAGTGAAACAGTAAGTCTGGGGTTGACCTTCTAGCCATCTTGCGGCGATCAGCGTGCTGAGTATTCACAAAAGCACTATTGTGATCAGATTGCTTTATGACGCAGAGATCGGCGCTAGGCAGAAATTACACTTTCACTTAGGCTGAAGTCAACTGAGGCCGCCGGGCGGCAGAGGAATCCAACGACAGCAGACCGGGTGTAGGCTTACTACGGTAGTAGAAGCCCACGACCCCTTTGCTCTGCATTCTCCTCGGCAGTGGTTCAACGTGCTTAACCGTACTGCTACAGTACTGCGATAGGGCCAAATTCTGAACTCATAGGAATAAGACGGCAAGGGGAAACCAGCTGATGGGTAGGCAGGCAGATTTGACAAGTTTGTAATAGGCAAATGCACTCCGAGATCCGAATTTGTCTGCAAAAATGTGACCAAAAGGGTTGCGAGGTAAACTGAAAGTTTCAACGTAGTCAGTTTGTGGGGAGTGAGGAAGTAAAGTGACCAATTCCTCAGTTATGCTATTTTGATTCGGTGGTGCTGACTCCGCTTCTTTCTTCCATTGGACCGAACACTATAATGGATGTGATACGACAACATGGAACTAAGAGAGAGTGTGTGTGCGTGTGACAGCGAGAGAGAGGGAGAGAGAGACAGAGAGAGTATGTGATTTATTTTGAAATCATCATTACAAGATTTCCACCATGCCCGTAGCCAGAATATAAGCTAATTGACGATGAAAGAGTAAACCCGGTCACTTAAAACTGTACGGCTATTATGGGGACAGTTCGGGTCCCTTTTTCTGCATTTCGGTCCCCTTTCACGTAAGATATTGCGCCAGAGGTGGTAATGCGAAACGCTGATATGCCGATGTACGGCAAGAGATATGCCGGAAGCCACAGCGTATGGGGCCAAAGAACTTCGTAGCAATTAATTCAGGGTGAGGGGGATGACAACACAATCGGGAATTCGATCAGAAAATTGCTTGGCCGTTGCAAAATGTCAATGTTCGACAGTACCGTCTGAAAATATGTAAAAACGCACCGGCAATAGGAGAGAGCATTCGGAAAACACGTTTTAAAATTAGCAATCTTTTATAAGCAAAATAGAAAAGACAATGGGAGAATGGAGGCAACTACAAATCAACAGATTAGGGATTGAGGCTGTGGCGACTAAGCGGCGAGAGTTTGCACATAGAGTGCTACAATCATCAGGTCAAATCCCATGTTGGAGGAAGAGACTGAAGGCACCAGTATGAGGGTTTTATTTTATACAGAACCCTGGGTGTCCTCTCAGGCGGTGGTGGCCACTGGCGAAGTCAAGACTGGTGTTGACTGCGTCCAGTCATGTCTGAGAGTCCTTAAGGCAGTGGTGGTAGCCGCTTTTGTAGGCTCGTGGGTCAAGCTGAAGTGGTTGCATTCGCCGAGGGGCGGTGTCCCAGTGGCTTATGTTGCCGGCTGCAGGCGGGTAGGTACGTTCAATTGGCCGCATAGGCAGATGCGACCGTGTGGGTACAGGTGTGTCCGAGCTGAAGTCGGTCGAGTCAGAGCGTCTGGAAAGGCTCGCTGCAAGTAGTGAATGACTTTGAGACAGGGAGGCCTTAAACAATGACTCCAGACTGTCTATGATGGTTGTCCGCAGCAAGGCGTGCGCTAGGAATGTGGACTTTGAATGCAAGAAACAAGTTTATGAATTTTAGTGAAAAGGATTTAAATATGAAGGGAGAATGGGAGACACCAAGGTACCGGAAAGAGGATAGTTCATTGGGAAGGACGTCAAAGGACTCAGGAATGAGATCGACAGGCTTGGAGAAATGGCTGGTCACAAGCTTCTGCATCAGTCATGTGAGCAGTATGCCTGATTTTGCATGCATCGACTACCTACACTGCCAAACCTAGCCGACGTTTACTGGTAAAAGAGTGTTCCTACCCTTTTTAGGGCAACATTCTGGTCATTACTGGTCCTTTTCCGACGGTAGATCTAGTGTGGACACATTAATTAGATAAGACTAAGTTTTTATTTAGCGGAGGACACTTCGGCGAACCTCTTTTTATTAATTTTAAGTATTAATGGATCAAAAACGGTAAAAACCAAGTAGCTGCAGTCCGTGGTCATCCATCTACGACCAGAGAACAACTCCAGATCAGCGGTTTATTCGGTTGATACAGCCGCAAGGAACAGATTAGAAGAATACAGACATGATCCATGTCTGAGAGCCGTCAAACAGCTGACGCAGCTTCTAACTTCGGGCCTTCGCGTCCTTGAGGGGACATGAGCAATCAGAACGCGAAAGAAGCCACCATAGGTTTGGTTAGGTGCAGGAGCAAGGTAAAGCTTTCCACGAGGTTTTAAAACGGCGATAGTTAGTGCATGCATGGATTCGACGGGACTGAAGTGGCTAGGACAATACATATACATATATGCATATACATACATATACCATATTCAATTTACCATATGCAATTCATACTACTCTTAGTACTACTTGTTTGTAGAATGGGCATTACGTGGTTATTCCACAGTAGTTGATTGTCTTCGACTCAACTGTTCATTGAAATTTCGGTTCTGACCCTAAAAAGTCATGTCCCGGAGATTTAACTCCAAGTTCTGCACTGATTAATTTCCGAAAATATTCACCTGATTATTCTCTGGAGTTCATATACCGGAAACCGCTAGAGAACGCTGGGGGTCCCACTGAAGAACCGAACCCCTCGCAGCTGTGTCACGCAGTGGAAGAATATCGGCGAAACACGTGTCTGGGCTTTTAGCAAGTATCTAGGTCGGGAGTACGGTATAATACCTTTACCACATACATATACATACATATACATACGTATATATATGAATGAATTTCACTTCGTTCAAACAGTGGACATAATATGGATAACTGACATGGAGTGACAGGTAGTGTTTCCAAATAAGAAAATTAGTTCGTGCGGGTAGGCTTTTACTGGGCAGTGGGGCTGGGACATCTATCGGTATTAACTAAATAATCCATGAAAGCCTTTTTTAGTACAGCAGAAAATTGATCAGCCTACACAGCCCCGAAAATGAATAGATAGGCCCCCAGTTTTGGGCCTTATTTCCTTTAATAATGTCCATCTGACCATAAAATTCTGGCAATCTTAGGTGCTCTTTTGCCGGGTTAGTCCGTTTTTAACAAAATAAGTTATCTCCAAATTTCAGACTTTGTCTGTTTCATGAAAAATACATCTGGTACATCTCTTTGGACAACCCTCTAGATAGAAATATGCGACCAAGCCAGACTAATCAGTAAGATCTTATTTCGTAGCCGCACCTGTTAGGCGCAAGGGTTAGTGTTGGGGGTTAGAGGTTATGGGTTAGTGTCAGGGGTTGGGGTTATGGCATGGGGTTAGTCTTAGGGGTTAGAGTTAGGGTTAGTGGTTAGGGTTAGGGGTTAGCGTTAGGGGTTAGTGTTAAATCCCCTACTACCACCGGTCCCGTATGACAGGCGGCTGGCGCTTGTCTACTGCAGGTGCGGCTATCACATAAGATCCGATCGACCAATCGCTAAACGAGACAGAGTGGAGAGACAAGAGAAACTTTTTACAAGGGTATCCGCTTGTCTGACCAACAAATGTAGGCTAGAATGTCTATTAGGCCACCATGACCTGATCCGTAGGATCGGCTGCACACGGCCATCAGCCGTCACATATTCCTGAGGACAAACTGCCTGCAGTTCGTTACGTTTTCCAGGCAAGAGGCAATGCTAGACGTAGAACTAGGTAAGTGGGACACCCAGCACCTATGAACGATCAGCATACGCACGCGCCCGTGCGAGAGAACGAGAGGCGTGTGGTGTATGACTAAACTTTTGTCCGCAACCACTATGGCGCGGTGTCAGGTCTTGCGCAAGCGGGCAGGGCGGTAATGGTGGAACGATGTAAACTGTCACAGGAGAGCTAAATTTCCTACTTCTGAAGTTGTCGCGTCCGGTCCCGCTTCTACTGGCAGTTACGTCGACACTGCAGCTGCCACCGCTTTGATGATGATGATGATGATGATGATGATGATGATGATGATGATGATGATGATGATGATGATGATGATGATGATGATGACAGAGGCTGCGGCTATGGTGATTTCGAACTGTCTCGAGGAAAGTCGTGATAGTTACTGCTTGAGACTGTATTAACGACACGCTGATGCTGACAGTACCCACACGGATGCTCGGCAAAACGATTATTGTTATCATAACCAGAAAACAAGGGGTGAAAAGTCCTTCTTCATGAGAAAAGTGTACGTACTGTTCTAGTTTAACGTGCTGTTTAATATTCCCACAGAAAACAGTGATCTAGAAATTTAATAAAATAACACACAGAATGCGTCGAAATTTGTGCCGTAATGATCGGAACTTTCCGGCATGTTTTCAACTACAAAGGATCGTTTGGCTGATTCCGCGATATATATTAGCATAAAACATATTTCCATATTGCTTTGCACATTTTAATTTACAGATCTTCATTTGAACATGTTTACACCCGTCTTTGTAAATTACTTCCGGAAAAAAGAAATCTCTACCTAGATAGCGTGTAGTTTTTTTACAGATTTTCGATGCCTGTTCAAATTCACTTATGTTTCTGGAAAAGGTGCACGAAGCCTATTTTCTCCTGTTCTTCTTGGAAGCAGCTACATCTTGTGTAAAAGTTGCCCTTGAAGGCAGGAAATTACAAACCCTTTCCTCTAAATACACACTTTTTTCTTACTGATTGCCCGCAGTGTGTATAATAAAAGCCTTTGCATCCACTATAGGGAACACGATGGAATTTGTATAAACACGGAGGATTAATAGGGACTAGCCATACTACCTAACTAATCTCTTCGAAACTGCCTCACAACAGTGAAGGGGAAGATGCCTCGCCAAGGGTCGGTAGTGTATCGCGTAGGAAATAATTCGAGATTATCTTGCTTGTTAATCCACTTTGTAATCTCACGTAAGCACTAATTCCCATTCGAAAGCACCCTCAAAGATTTCAGTCGGTTGCCGATGCATGCTGAATGCAGTTCAGAAGCAGGAGCCTCAGTGGCGGGAAAAAGTCTCGGATTGACTCTCGAACCCATTGTCGCAGACGACAGTAGACAGAGGGGGACGTGCTGAGGTACAGCGTTTATAGAATGTAGTTAGTCCGCCATTACACATATACCAAAGTGGGCAGCTTTTGTGGGCCACGGAGATTTTGGTACTTTCCGTGATAATGAACCACTCGCTCAAATACAAGTCGTTGAATGCGACAATTTACTTATCTGTTGCTGGCCCTGATGCTAGTTTCAAGAGTGTATCCGAAAGGTCAGGCGAATTAGGTTCTAGCTTTGGTTTTCAATAATTCGCAGGTTCTGGAAACTGCCGTCCGTCAAACAGGGCATAGGATATTAAGGGGACATAATTTTAGAACCAACCTGAATTATTTGGAGCTGCCGAGACGGAATTCGTCTGTATTACACCAAAGTCTACTCTGAATACCCCAACCACTGACTTTTGGAGGATGAACCTTGAGGAGGAACAAAGGGGCTCCGCAGTGAATTAGAGGGAAGGAAAATCGTTGTTCTCCCTCGCAGAAGCGAGTGTAGATTTGACCTCTAATTTTAAAATGTACAAATCGCCGTCTCTGGTGCCGGACGTACCCTGACTGACAGTGTGCCTTTCAAAACAGGTGGTTGGAATCAAGCTGAGCAGATAAGACTTTTTGTCGAAGATGGAATAGGATTTACTGGTGACGAGCAATGACTGTGAAGTAAACATGAGCCTAATTCGTCCGATTAACTCGGAACATATTCATTTTACAAGAGATACTAAAATCGCAAGTCTTCCGCGGAAAGTGGACCCACCGCGGACTTCATACGATCAGAAAAAAGCATATAAGCTATTCTGCTCTTCCTAACGCAAACTGTTTGCAGAGAGTTACGCAGAGAGAGAGGTAGGTAGTGTGGTATGAAGCTTGTCGAAAAAACGTGATTCCAGGGTGACGAATCAGGAGAAAATTGAACGCTTTTTAGACTCTCTGTTCAGCTGCCAGCATCCAGAGGCTGGGGAGTGATGGAGGGGGAGGGAGGCGGGGGCGTGAATGATAAAAGAGGAGTTTTAGAGAACGCGAGGTTTGGGGAGAGACTTCGGTAATGAGCGTCCTAACTGTCGGTGAGAGCAACTCGTGCTAAGACTGTACTTTGGTGCATAATCAGGTCTGCCACTTACTCCGTGGCCAGAAAGGCTGCATCTTTGTCGCACGAAGTAGAAGCCAGTTACATAATGCAGACAGAGGGAAACGCCCCCTTTAAAACTTTAGTTTCCAGCCGTTGACATTTAGTCCGAAGGTTCTTCATCTCTCTCTCTCTCTTTCTCTCTCTCTTTCTCTCTCTCTCTCTCTCTCTCTCTCTCTCATAATATGGACCTTAAAGTCGAGAGTGAATCTGCATGGCCTGTGTCTTTCTTGGAAGTGTAAGTACGACAAGCGCCACTTTGACAGTGCTTGATGCTGCAGTTCCGATCGATTTGGGTGCTCGAAACTAACGCTGAACGTGCACATCTAAAGTACAAAGAGTGACACAAAGGAGTACTGCCTAGTCGAAGGACAGTTTTTACAAAAGAAGCCAAGGTCTAGAAGCAAAAAACACTGGAAAGAGTTGGCACTCCTCTGATAAATACCGATTATATTGGTAACAACTTGCTGCACATCAGCCTCGCCATCCCATGGTAGACAAAAGGCAGTGCAAGGGCAACTAAGGATAGTCAACTAGAGGTGAGAGAGGGTACACTGGCCGACTAAAAATTCTACCTCCACTTACACATTTCACAACCGCGCCCGAAGGCGAAGCAAGTTAAACGGACTAATGTGAGGACTACCATAGGAGTCCTCTTAAAGCGAAATCAGCGGAGAATTTTTCTGGACCGAAAACTAGTTTCTCACCCGTTTGCAGAATTCAAAGCCCCGACCTTTAAGGCGCCACGACGGTTTTCATGTGCTTAAGGTAGCCCATAATGAGAAAGGGATTAAACAGATCGACCAAGCGCTCTATCGTACTCTCCTACTGTTGCCACCTTGTTTCTAGGGTAGGTTCGTGCCGGAGCGACTGGATGTGAGACTGCTCACAGTGGCTGATCTGACATACGCCCTATTAGCACTCGACCGGCACGTGACCGGCTTCCTTGCACGAATTACCATGCCGACTGTGAAAGGAGGTCAGTCACGTGCCGCTCGAGTGTTAGTAGGGCGAATGAAATAAGGCGCATTGAATTAAGGCCATGTTTTGGATCGGACAGCCCAGTTCCGGCCACTTTGGAAGGCAGGTCGATTAATAGACCACGACCCGTGTATCTCGACGTCCTCACTGAGGACGACCGATCAAACACAAAATTCCCACATATATGCATACTACCATGATATTTGTATCATCACGACTACAGACAAATCGTTCGTAAGCTATCAAAACCACGGTAAATAGGAGCCAGCTTAGCCGGGTTGTGGTAGGATAAAAGACCCTAGTTTATGTATTAAGAATGGGGGACGCGCAAAACTAGCACAGGGCGTTCACAGGCTGCGGTGTTACAGCCGTCAGTGTCACCTTGCAAGTAGGTCTGTATGCCCCAGTCAGTTTCTGCACACCCATACATGCATGCACCCATACACCCATGCATTAATCATGCATGCGGAGGAAAGTAGGCGCCTTCTTGGTGGAGCCAGCAAAGAGATGGAGGACGGGGAAATTATGATGGCAATATATGAAGCACTTAGGACGGACGTACACACAAAAATAGACTGCCCGAAAAGAAAAAAAGGCTTGTGAAATTGTTCTCCTTTTAACTTAGATCTTGAAATCCTGAGAGGACAGTGACGTTATAATTCTCGCTTATGGGAAAACCCTAATATGTGGTCAAAATAAGGCCATGCATGTAATCATATTGACCTGCTTCAAAATCGCTGAAAGCGAGCGTTTTTGACCTGTCTTGTGAGACACCGGTGAATGGAACTGATTACCGATCTATTTAGTTATGTCTTGTAATCCACATTGCACATCATTATCCTGGTGGAAGGGAAAAAATATCGAAAGGGAGGATTAGAGAAAAACGACATTTGGACAATATCCTCCAAAACTGATAATCTAAATCAACCATTCATGCAGACGCTAAAAAGCAGTCAAGTGAAAATTATGGCAATGTTGCTGACAGTTGTACCAACCAGTCTGATGAAAATGTTTTAAAGATAATTTTGAGGATTTATGAATCATATCTCTATTTTTCTTCTCCCGCTGTCCTGAGACGTCTCATACACAAGTATTTCAAGCAATAAGCCTAGTCAAGTCTTATTTCTCCGTCCTAGGTTGCGTTAACCTAAAGCGTCTAGTTTGTTTCTTACGGTTCTGATAGCAACTGCAATAAAACCGACTCGGAATACCAACATACCTGAGAAATAGTTGTGAATGAAATTGAGGTAGGGCCAAAGGTCACTAACAGTTTACCAAAGCCATTGCAGCACTAAACGTCGTAGAAATTCAATTCAGCCATTGTCGAGTGCGCTTATTTATCAAGTTGTCTGAATTAGCTGCTATCTGTAAAAGTTGAGGCGAGCCGAAGCAACATAACAATTCGAAGAGGCTTGGATGTGAAATAAAAAGTGGATACAATTCCTTACAATTTTACTATGATTGAAAGGGAGGGATGAGTGGCTGTTTCGATCTTAAAACTTTTGCATCACACCCAGGCAACGGCTCTTTGAGTTCGGAAGATGTCTCCGGAACGGGCGAAACCATGCCGGTTAAGAGCACTGTGAAGGAATGATCTGGGTGGCCTATAAATCTGTCGCATTAATAGACAAGAATCAGACGTCTAGTGGCTGACCTCAGGTGAATCATGCCGTGAAAAATTCTCTGCATCCTGCTTTAGCATCAAAGAGGTCGTACAATTGTTGTATTAGATAAACACGGGGTCGCACTGGCCTCTGGAGTGTGCTGGGTACGCTGGGTGGAGTCAGCGCGAACGACTTACTGCTACCGCACAATCGGAATTCAGAAAGTCAGAAACTGAGTCCAATCTCATCACCAGTCAGCAGACTAGTTCGGAAGGACCACTGGTGTATTGGAGATGGAGGCCGATAGTGAGGCACCCCCCTCCCCCCTCA